GGTCAAAGTTAATGAGCCTTGTGACTGCCTGAGAAACGCAAGATTGGACTTCAGAGTGGTTCACGCTGGCACCATCTCTCCCATCTTATGCAGATGGCACTGTAGAGGGTGGGACAGTCCATGGAAGCCCTTCCTGAAATAATTCTCACTGCGGAACTTGGGTCTGCGGAGTTTTAGGCAACATGTCCTGGTCACTGCAGGTATCCAGATAAAAGGGTGAAGTATACCTCTCTGCCCCTTCTTTTTAGCCCAGTGTATATCAAAGTCTTCCCTGGAGGAAAACAGGGCATATTCTTGTTTACTAAGTCAGCCTGACCTCTGGACTACCCTTCCTTTGAGCTATTTTCTACTAGTTCTGCATGAGATCTCATCACTTGTGGGGTTTTTTTTTGGAAGTGAAATTTAATGACTTTCAATCATAACTGTTCAGTCAAAAAATCTTTGTCCTTTTTTATTGTTGTTGTTCTTAACAAATGGGAAGCTTGGTCACAATTATTGCGTGGAATGGAATTGCGTAGGAATGCAGTGCATGTTTTAAGACAGAACGCTGCATTTATTAATAGTAATAACAATTACTAATAACATGAAGCAGCACTCTGTGTTTTGTTTTGGTTTTGTAACACCAAACCAGTGATTATTCTGTAATTACAAATAACCTGCCATAGGTGCACATCATCTCTTCTACTCCCAATCTCAGCAATTAGCACGTAAATGAAAAGAAAGTCCGACTGTTTTCCCAAAGTTATTAAATGTTCCCCCCGACATTCGTGTATCTATGAAGAACTTCACTCATGAACTTTGAGAATATGGTATTGTTGATGTCTTGGCTCACTCAGAGCTTATAAAATTCTCCAAGAAAAAGAAGCCAAGTTTATATTTAACAAGCTTTATCAAACCATTGAAGTGAAGTGAAAAGCACGCTGATACACTGTGTAAAGTACACAGAAAGGGCCTGGAAAGCTTGCAGAAAATAACTGTGCCAAATACTTTCTCCCACGATCGCCACTCAGCGTGTTAGTCGTTGTAGCAAAAAGATGTGTACACATGGATCATATTTAGAGTCCTCCATCTCTTACGATAACTCTTGTTTCTTATCGAGTGCACGTTCCTCTAATTAGGTCTCAGCACTGAAGTGACTGGTTTAAAGCTCTGCAACACGTTCCTCTAGAAGTTCATAAGAACAGTGTTTGGAGAGGACTTCAGAGAAAAGTTTTGAAGAAATATTTTTTGCAGAGCTTTAATTATAGGCAAATATATCAACTTTAATTTGGAGAATGCTTGTACGTGTGCACAGATGTAACTCAGATTTGTATAAACTAACGTTGCAGTAGAAACGATATTTTAGGAAGTAAACTGAAGTAGTTTGGAAAATAAATTTCTAATATTTCCTATGGTATTTTCCATAAACAAGAGCTATGGGAGACTGGGAAGAGGATCCATAGGGCGAGCACATACCTTGAAACTGTGACCCCTGAGTATCCTACAAATCTTAGAGCATGGCAGTGGGTTTCCTCAAAGCTCTCCGCCACAATGTTCATTCAGAGCTCTTTAATTACCTATGAGTCTGTGGTCTGAGCCTTTGATCCCTAAGAAAAAAATGAATTCAAGGCACAGGGGAAGACGAGGAAGATCCTGAGGTGCAGAGCATTAAGTTCAATGTTAACCTAGATGAGGATGTGGGCATCCCATTGCGGATGATGGGTGCATGGGAGCCTTCAGGTGATGTCACTGTGAGGTTCCTCACAGGCCGGAGTCCTCCCACTGCGCAGGGAGAGGACAAGTTTGCTTTTCTGTCTGCTCCCATGGGCTGGCCTCTCTCCATCCCTGTGCCGAGTGGATGTGGCAGATGTGAAGAGGCCGCGTGTCCATCCGAGGCTAGCAGCTAGAGTACAAGTGGACGCCGCGCTCAGCAGTTGGGAAGCGAATTCCTGACTTGTTGTCCATAGCGTAGGAAACGAACAGTATGTTTTTTGCTTAGTGCAGTCTGGGAAGGGGAAAGGCAAGGTGATGGTCACTGGGGAGCAGCATAGATGTGTCTGGTGCGCAGGGACTGCTGCGTTCCACGGGGAGCAGCAGCGTGGGTGTAAGGCGAGGCGAAACTCCGCTGCGAGGGCGTATCCGAGGTGAGATTGCAGTCGGAGAACTGTCCTGCCACAAGTGGCAGTAACGGACTTGCAGGACGCCGTTAGTTTAGCAGTGTTTGTAAGTAACTGCTCCTACAAGATTTGCTGTCCCAAGTGACTGGCCACAGTGAGCCCAAGCAATGGAGTTACCTGAGCAAACCCGCTGCAGCCAAACGCAAACGGTGCCGATAGCTGCTGTGTGCACCACGGGGGCAGTGGTCTGGGCACACACGGAGAGATCCCCCACACATCCACCCCCTAAGCTACTGCTCCTGGCTCTCTGTGCCTGTCACGCAGCTAGAGCAGCGTAAGGGTGTGTGCTGTCACTGCCAGAACAGCTCGAACCGTCATAAGCACCTGTGCCAGGTGTGGCTGTAGTGGTACGAGGTGCTTGTTCAGCTGTCCTGCCTACACACTACACAGAGCTCTTAGGATTATACTGCTAGCAGGGATTAAGGGTGAATGAGGGTTTTGAACCTTCCTGTTTCGATTGTTTTGCTGCCCGAGGTAAACATCTTTTTTCTTTATATATTTCATAGAATCATAGAATGGTTTGGGTTGGAAAGGACCTCAAAGATCATCTAGTTCCAACTCGCCTGCCATGGGCAGGGACACCCTCCACTACACCAGGTTGCCCAAAGCCTCATCCAACCGGGTCTTGAACACTGCCAGGGATGGGGCAGCCACAGCTTCTCTGGGCAACCTGTTCCAGTGCCTCACCATCCTCTGAGAGAAAAATTTCTTCCTTAGATCTTATCTAAATCTGCCCTCTTTCAGTTTAAAGCCATTGCCCCTTGTCCTATCACTACACACCCTTGTAAAAAGTCCCTCTCCAGCTTTCCTGTAGGCCCCCTTTAAGTACTGGAAGGCTGCAATAAGATCACCCTGGAGCCTTCTCTTCTCCAGGCTGAACAGCCCCAACTCTCTCAGCCTGTCTTCATAGCAGAGGTGTTCCAGCCCTTGGATCATCTTCATGGCCCTCCTCTGGACCCGCTCCAGCAGCTCCATGTCCTTCTTGTGTTGGGGACTCCAGAGCTGAACGCAGTATTCCAGGTGGGATCTCACGAGAGCAGAGTAGAGGGGCAGAATCACCTCCCTCGACCTATTTGACATAGTATTTGTGCATAAATGTACTGCAGGGCAATTATTGGCCTAGGTGGTGTGGGCTGTGCACATTTGTATGGTTTCTTTATGTTAAATACCAAAATTCTAATCATGTAAGCAAGAAAAACAGATTAAACAAACATCAAAAATATATTACAAACAGCATATCCTTAAAAATTAACAGGACTTTACTACCCAAGGCAACCTAAAGTCCTTGAGGCTGTGTGGGCATTAATGTCCTAGACTGCAAACAGACATAATCCAAAATCAACAAAGGATTAAAAGAAAAAAAAGGAGACGTAATAATTCAAAAAATGACTACAATATTGAGGAGTTAATTGGTTTCTTACAGGCTTCAAGCTTTTCTAAAATTTATTTTTATTATACAAAAAGTTCATCCAAGATCTGTAGCCTGCAATATTACTTTTAAAATACATTAGCATTTGGTTGACCTTTTATCAGGCTGCTTATTTTGTCCTAATTCTGAAAAGCAGGAAGCCACTGGGTTCTTACTTTTCGTTTTGCTCTGTCTTCTGGCTTTAGAGGAGCTCTTGCAGCAGTGCTACTTACATGTTGTCCTAGCGCAAAAGAAGTTCCTTCTTCCCTTTGACTGTATTTCCTGAAAACAACAGTGCTGTGTTTCAGTTTAGAATTGTAAATCATCTCAGTTCTTCTTGTTCTCGCTTCCCTAAGAAGTCTATGAAGACATTAAGATGCTTATTTTGGCACTGCAGATGGAAAACACGTCAAGTTTTTAATAGATCAGGCCCTTAGAAATACCGTAGGTGTCGGAGATGTCTCTAACATCTAAGGATGTGCCTGACACACGTTACTGCTGTTACTCCTTGTGCGCTAGACCCGCCTCTAAAAGAGGAATTTCCGAGACAGCTCTATCCAGTGCAACCTGTTTATCTCTAACTGACAGCTGTCCATCAGGCATGACATCCGTGTGTTATTCCTGGAGACTTACACAGACTGGCACAGTGTCTTCAGAAGTAAGTGGAAGTCTTTGTAGCCACCTGACTTTGGCAGCCGTCGTTCCAGCAAAAACCTCTTAAATTTCAGGTAGTCCTGGCTGCTCAATGCCCAGTGACCTCTGGGCTCATTAATCCCCAAGAGCGTTCCTTCTCCTTGTAGCTGAGAACAGCAGCCGAAGGACAGACTGTGTTGGAAAGCAAAAAGTATAATTACAGTTGAATTCCAGCTTCCACTAGAGCTCCTCCCTCTCAGCTCTCAGTATAATCCTGGTATTTGTTTAGGGAGCTCTAATCCTTTGCAGATAGATGGATATACCTTCCGCTGTGTTTCGAAGGTCAGGTGCACGTCGGCCTCTTCCAAGTCCGACTGCCTTCTGTCGAGATTCTCCTGTAAACATCTGTGGAAGGTTTCAGCAAGGACTTTAATGTGGCTTCATTTTACTGAGAAACCGCTATCCTTAAAAGTGCAATTTGAGGGGAAGAGTGTGCTTCAAGGTTAAAGCTTTTTTCCTTTTTTTTTTTTTTTTGCCCTGGTTAAAAAGGAGCTTTCATTTGCAGAGCCTTTAGCAGATTTGGAATCACCTTTTACGGAGCCCAGATAAATGTTACAACATAAATCGTAAATCATACAGGCATAAAGTTTATGAATCTTCATGGCAAATATAATTAGATATATTGAATGCTCCAAGAGAAGCACAATGCCTAGAGCTACTCTGCTGGTTTTTATTCGAGATAAGGAAGTAGGTCACTAACTCCTGTTATCTCATTCATGTCTGAAAAACTGCTTTTCTCACAGTTCCACGCCAGCCTGGAGTGAGCAACAATCTGTTTGAAATACTTGAAATTGAAAGAGGGATTACCGCCGATGAATTTGAAGCAAATGATGACCCAGGTAAAGATCACATCTCCTTTTCGGGGCCTAGGCTTTAGGGTTTTTTTAAATTTCTGGAGTTTTTACACATTTTTAAAGGACTCTTGTGTCTTAAGCCCCAAACTATGCTTTGTAAAAAGAAAAAAAAAAAAAGGGCGGGAAAAAAACAAGAAAGAAAAAAATCCCCACCCTAGGTGAACCTTTATAGTTTATTTTCATAACAGGTTTAGCTTAAAACAGTGTGAATGGTTAACAATAACAATAGCAACCCTTTCATTGTTTTAGTATTTTTGTAGATTCTTTTTCTAGTGCTCCTCCTGCTGCATTTTATTTTTGTATTTACTTGCCATTGTCAAGCACAAGGGAAATGGCTGTAGTTCCCCCCAAAACAATCAAAATAACTTCTTTTTTGACCTTCTGCTCTGTTCTGCCTAGGTGTGCTGGTACACAGCTGTGATTTTGATAGTGGACTGTGTGGATGGATCAAGGACAAAGATGATGACTTGCACTGGGAACCAGTGAGAGACGCATCAGGTAAGATACCTGTGCGCAATCACCTCCTGTAGTTGAAGAACCACCCAGGCTTGAGGTTGATGACAGTTCTTGTCAAAATTTATGATGACATAAATGACAAATTTATGACAAATTTACACAGCTTCTGTTCCCTTTAGTTCTGGGATATGTTTCACACTCCCTCCTCTTCTGTGAATAAAAATCAAAACTGAGGATTACCAACACGAAAGACCAGTTGAGAATTTGCACTCTGTCATAGCTGGTAACTACAAGAGGAGTGTCTCTGAAGGAGGAGTAACCGTATTCAGTAAAAGACTATCTGTCTTAAAGGAATCAGAAAGAACAAAAATGTGGACTAGAGAAAAGCTTTTATTTATGGGGAAACAAAGCTTATTTTTCAAACCACCACGCAAACATAATTATTTCCATATTACCAGCAAAATTATAGAAAGTACTGGAAGTAGTCTTTGTTCTGCTGCCAAATACAATGCTCTAGTTTAACCTCTCAGTTTGATTTTATTGATTTCTACTCTAAGTTACAGCAACCTGTATATAGGAAATACGTTAAGTAACTGGGAAGGAAGACAAGTTAGGCGCTAATATGCCGAAACTTCACCAAGTTGAGTGGGAGTGTTGATCTGCTTGAGGGTAGGAAGGCTCTATGGTGTGATCGGGACAGGCTGGATCAGTGGGCCGACGCCAATGGTATGAGGTGCAAGAAGGCTCAGGTTCAGGTCCTGCACTTGGGTCACAATAACCCAATGCAATGCTACAGGCTTGGGAGGAGCGGCTGGAAAGCTGCCTGGCAGAAAAGGACCTGAGGGTATTGGTCGACAGCCAGTTGAATAGGAGCCAGCAGTGTGCCCAGGTGGCCAAGAAAGGCCAACAGTATCCTGACTTGTATTAGAAATAGTGTAGGCAGTAGGAAGTGGTTGTCCCCCTGTATGCGGTGCTGGTGAGGCCACATCTTGGATCTTGTGTTCAGTTTTGGGCCCCTCACTAGAAGAAAGTTGAGGTGCTGGAGTGTGTCCAAAGAAGGGCAACGGAGCTGGTAAAGGGTCTGGAGCACAAGTCTTATGAGAAGCAGCTGAGGGAACTGGGGTTGTTTAGTCTGGAGAAAAGGAGGCTGAAGGGAGACCTTATTGCTCTGTACAACTACCTGAAAGGAGGTTGTAGCGAGGTCGGTGTGGGTCTCTTCTCCCAAGTAACAAGCGATAGGACAAGAGATGGCCTCAAGTTGCACCAGAGGAGGTTTAAATTGGATATTAGGAAAAGTTTCTTCACCGAAAGGGAAGTCAAGCATTGGGACAGGCTGCCCAGGGAAGTGGTTGAGTCACCATCCCTGGAGGTATTTGAAAGATTTGTAGATGTGACACTTAGGGACATGGTGGACTTGGCAGTCAGTGTTAGGTAACACTTGGACTTGATCTTCAAGATCTCTTCCAACATAAATGATCCTGTGATTTCTGAAAATGAGTATGTTTGAGATGGTAAAAAGTGCTCTTGCAATGAATGTTAGCGGTGTGCACTGGCCACTTGGAGGATAGGAGAGGACTGGCATCAGCCCTGGTGGTCAGCCAAAGCAGTGGCCCCTGCTGGTGTGGTCCCAGCAGAAGTGCACATCTACGGTGCTGGAAGCTAGTCCTGTTTTGTCCCCTCTCGCTTTCACCGAGTGGCACTGCGAGGTTGGCCGTCCGTGCCTGCGTACCCTTCCCCCAGCAGTGCCTGCCCCACAGCACTGGGGATTAGACACACGTCTCTGGCTCCCCGTAATGACGGGATTACTTCATCCCCAGAGGAGCAGCCTTTGAAGTGCACAATGCCTACATTATGTGAGGGGGTGGCAGGCTTGGGAAGGAAGCTCGTTCTCCGGCAGTAAAACGGTATAGGTTAAGTTCAGGGAGGGTGAGGGCACTGGGAGCTGTTTTCCTTATGCACCACCTCATCACAGGTGCCTGTCCTTACGCTGCCATTGATGAGACAGTCATTTGCCACCGCAGCAGGTGACCTGCCACCTTTTCCGGGCTAAGTGGTGGTGGGCTGGCCCCCTCCCCACCCACAGGCATGCTCTCGCGTTCCCTGTGCTCCTCAAGATACTTAAAAAGTCTCTTGAATGACTCAGACTGCAGAGCTCCTTCCTCCTGCAGACGAGAAGACAGGGAGCTGTCTCCTGCTTGCAGACTGGTGTTTTAAAAAGCATCACACGTAATTCAAACGTCTGTTTGAAACAATAGATTTAAAAGCGCTTTGTTTCTGAGAAAGCAGGTAGCTCAAAGCATATTATCTGTACTTAAAAATTGGTGTTAATACATATTAAGTTCCAGAACTATGATTTTTAACTGACTTTTTTTTTTTTTTTTCTCTCCTGCATTGCTTTCCAGTCAGGGACAATCTCAGCTTTTCGTTTCCTGTGTATGTTCTGCTGCTGTTGACATAACCTGTTAAAACTGGTCCCTTGAAGTCACCCACCCACCCCCTCCTGTCTAGAATACCTTGTTGCGGAGGTTTATTTTCACAGCTTGTTCCTGAGTGTTTGCTTTCACCTTTCAAAGTTTGCCGTTTATTGGTTTATCAGAATCTGCATTTTGCTAGGTGCCGTGCTGAAGCCTGAGAAGCTTATCTGGCCTGCAGAAAATGATGATCTGAGGGGACCTTTTCCTGTAGGGGCTTGCCCACAGATAGGTTGGCTTTGTGCTTACCTAAATCTGTTTCCCATTGATGGGATTCAGTCACTGTAACTGTCTGAAACAGATGCAGTTAATGAGTCAAGCCAGTACTTTTATAGTGATATAAGTGTATCTACAACAAACAGGTGCAGTTATTTAAACTCTGTTGTGCTTATTTTAGCCATTAGTAACCTTGATGCAAAAACTGCATTAAAAAAAACAAAACAAAACAAAAAAACCCAAAGAAAACAACCAAACAAAAGCAAAACAACAACAAACTTGAATGGATCCTTGGACAAATGAATCCCCGTGCATGCCCAAGTGCAGATCTGGGGCCGTAGACAGCAGCATAAGACTTTGTTAAATCTCATTGAGACCAAAGAACTTCCAAAGCAATGTGGAGGTAGTGAATTGGAGACGAGGCTGGCTTTCCTTTTAAATGTGGGACAAGCCCTGGTACGTTGTCGTTAAATCTCACAGCTTTGGAGGGAGACAGTTGTGGATTTCAAAAAGAAGCTTTAAAAAAATAAAGCTCTGGTTGAGTAGCAACAGGGTGACAATTTAAATGAAAAATATTTTTCTATTCTATAATTGAGTAAAGACTGTGCATGTCAACAATATTACAAAGCCCCAATATTTCTACATCAGTTTCAACTAAGGAACCCAAATGCCACTTTTACCTGGAGTTCATTAAACTTGGAATTTTTCATTAAAAAAAAATTTAAAAATCTGATCTCATTAAGAAAGAAAAAGACTCTTAGGTTCAGAGAAAGATCAGATTTTTTAAAAAAAAATTTTATTTTTTAAAAGTGAACCGTCCTCTCTTTTGGTCATTTCAAATTTTAAAGTTATCATCCACCTTGCAAAAGTTTTAGGAAAAAGTACAAAGGAAAAATACAGATGTGGGTTTTCTCCAAGATGTGGAGTCTCATTTACTGTAGTTTTGTGTGCCTGTGTGAAAGGGTGCATGGGACTTACTTATGGAAGTGTATCACGGAATCATAGAATGGTTTGAGTTGGAAGGGACGTCAAAGATCATCTAGTTCCAACCCCCATGCCATGGGCAGGGACACCCTCCACTACATCAGGTTGCTCAAAGCCTCATCCAACCTGGCCAACACTTCCAGGGATGGGGCATCTACAGTTTCTCTGGGCAACCTGTTCCACTGCCTCATCACCCTCTGAGTGGAAAATTTCTCCCTTATATCTAATCTAAATCTGCCCTCTTTCAGTTTAAAGCCATTGCCCCTTGTCCTGTCGCTACACGCCCTTGTCAAAATCCCTCTCCAGCTTTCCTGTAGCCCCCTTTAAGTACTGGAAGGCTGCAATATACACATATATACACATATATATGTGCCTTTCTAATGTATATGTGCCTAGCTAATCCAGATTCAGAGTTTAGATGATGGTTAAATAAAAAGGCTGTGCTGTGAGACTTAACATGTTAACACAGTTCCCAATCAAAAGGAAAGGGACAGAACCGTAGCTCATTTACACGATAACATTTATGCTGCCCTTCTCATTCCTCTAGGTCATAGCAAAAACTGCAGCTTACAAGGTGCATAAATGTACCCAGTAGCTTTAATGTCACTGTGGGTTTAGAATCGTGCTGTCCCCAAGGGGTTGTCAGAAATGAATACGTGAGATTTTCCTTTTCAAAAGAGGTGTTATTTGCTATGTAAAAAAAGAAATGAGATGGTTAAGACGTAACCTGGAACTAATGTAAACGGGAGACCAGCACTGTAAATCCTACCCTGTGGGAGGCAAATGCATCAGTTCTGGTTCCCGTTCCACAACTGTATGCCTTATTTAAGGCTCGCTGGAATTTGCGGCGCTCTTTTTTATTTTTTGATTTTGTAACGACTCTTGCGCATTTGGTCCTGTAACGTAGTAGAATTTAAAAAAAAACCATCCCAACTGCTTTTTCTTCTGCAGGGGGGCAGTATCTTACCATCTCGGACCCCAAAGGCAAAGGCGGCAGAGCGGCGCATCTCGTCCTGCCGGTGGGTCACGTGGCTCAGGCTGGCGACCTGTGCCTGTCGTTTAGGCACAAGGTGCCCGGGCTGCATGCTGGTGCCCTCCAAGTCTTTGTCAGGAAGAACGGTGCTCACGGACCAGCTGTTTGGGGAAGAAACGGAGGCCATGGCTGGAGGCAGACACATCTGACTTTGCGAGGACGAGGCATCAAGAGTGTAAGTACCAGTACGTGTGCTGTGCTGCCTTTCGTTTTTTGTTCACGAGAACCTGAAGACGCTTAGATGGTGTAGCACTGAACTGCTTGTCTTCTGGGTCCAGTTTCAGCCCATTTTTACTGTTTTGATCCCTGCCAATGGAATCACATTAAGGATAAGCGAGTCATTGTGCATTTTGTCAAATTATTTTTTTGCATAAAATGCCACGTACAGCAGTAGACACTTAGGAAACTATAAAATATCCTGTACTGATGCTACCTCATAGAGCCTGTTTTCAGGGCATCACCACGTAGGAAAGAGCAGTCTAATGAACAGTGGCGTACTGTACAGGGATTTCTAAAAACCCTGTATCCAGATTCTGCATGAACAATGCTTGAAATCCTAAAGTGCCATGAAATAGGAAGCGTCATCCCTTGTGGATTAATAACTGGCTAAACCAGGGCAGAGATATTGAAAATAAGTCTTTTTCGATAATGCAGGGAGGCAACGTGCACTCTCACATGGTTTTATGCTTTGGCATGCCTGCAGCCGATCTGGACAGGGAGGTAAACGAGGACCTAACTATGCCAATAACACAAAATGGTTTAGTGCAATCAAAAGCAGCTGTCTGCAGTGCCACAGAGAATCCTTTAATACCTGGAAATCTTAGAAACACTGAGTGATAAACTGATATATCAAAAGCTCAGCATTTTTCTTCAACCTCTGCTTAGCTTTGAAGGTAGTTTCTATTTCAGATCTGAAGAGGCTTGGGTGCTTCAGGGCCTGTTTTGCTCTGACTTACATCAAGTGTCTGCAAAAGCTCACACATCATAATGTTCCTGGTGGGAGCGGGCTACAACACTCGCACAGTATATGGTTCTAAAATTAATATTAAGGCTGTAATTACTGCAGTTAATTTGCTGAAAGCTTTACCTCGGCAAAAGCAATAAAGACGCCAGACCTTCTGTTAGCTGTAAACGAATATCAGGACTGAGAATGTGGAAGTTTATAGCGGGTGGACAATATGTTTGCCCCATTCTTGCCCTTTTCCACCAAGTTTAGCACTTTTCGCAGTCCTCAGGCCTGTCTCACCTGATAGAGGAGTTCATTAAGTGTGTGCTGCCAACATGTCTGGCAGAAAAGCAAATGGGTGTTAGAGATGGTGAAGAAGACCTGCAGTGCCCCTTTGCTCTGCCCCTGCCTCGGCAGCAGCTGTCAGCCTGGGTTGCCCGTCGGAACCCATCGCTGGCCCGCAGACCAGAGCTGCCTCACGGCGCCTTACGGAACAGTCGAATTTGGGATCTTTTCCAGCCAGCACAGGGAGGCCTGGGCTAAAAGAACCGCTGTGACGTTTATTCCAAGGATCAGGGAATGAGAGAAAATGCCAGATAAGAAGGGAAGGCCTCTGCCCCAGAGAAATCGGGAAGAAATATGGAAGCTTTTTCTAGCTTAATTAGCTATTTTCTAGCTAATTAAAAACCAAACACAACTAAACACTAGCAATTTTAGGGGGGCCTACTGGGAACCTGAGGAGAATATGAACGGAGACCAGAATCCTTCATCACACTTTCTAATGAATTAGGTCTGTGTAAATTATTTCTAAAGCACACCAAAACCTGCTCATTTCTAAAAAAAAAGTTCATTTATTCAACATAGAGTTGAATAAAGAAATAATTTCTAAATTATTTTATTTCTAAAAAAAAATTTAGTACATTCAACACCGAGTTTCTCTGACCTCCTCTGTTCCTACTCCTTATTTGAAAGTATGCATTCAGCAAGCATCCAAATTATTTTTAACTACACAGCTGAATTTCTGACCTATGAATCTGTATTAACTCTTTCCAGCTCAATGATAACAGCAGACTCTTACAAAGTTTTGCTGTAGGCTTCACATAATTTTTAAGCCATGGTCAAAAACACCGACCGTATTAAACGGTTCAGGCTTCGGAATCCACAGCAGCAGCGGAGGTGAGCAATACTGGTTTTATGGGAAGTGTTTCTTAAAGTCAGCTGGGTATTCTGTATATCGTCTCTGATTTGTGCACCAGTCCTTCTAGTTAAGCTTTGTGGTTGTTGGATTTCTCCTACTCAGGGTAAATCGGAGTGCTAATGATCTGCTTAAATCCATGTCCAAAGTTCTACTGCCATTTTGCGAGGAGCCAGCGCTTCTGTGGATTACTCTTAAGTCTGCAGAGGCAAGAATTTGTTAAATAAAAGATGGGTGTTTCTAGTTCCCACAACCAAGGCAGCTGCAAGGTGCTTCAGCCATGGAAAGCTCCTCTGTTGGACAAGGTTTTTCAGAATGCAGAGGAGTTCATGTGTTTGCCATGAGGGACAGTGGAAACAGTGCAGAGATGATACGTAGAAAGTACCTGAGATGCTCTTATGTGGAAGTTTATCTCACCTCAGCAGATGGTGCAACTGGAGCAACTCTGTCCTGAACAGCAGTTCTTCATAAAGCTCCCGCCAAAGTGAAGAAGGGAAAGGATCAGAACCAGAAAAAACCAGCCATAATTCTGCGCAAAATAAATAGCCTTTTGTGAGTCAGTTACGATTGCCTGAGCCTTCTTACACTTTTGATTTCTTACTGTTGAGACCTCTCTTGAGCAAAGCTTCTTTCATTTTACCTTATTTTTTGCACTCAAATCATTCTGTTTCTCTTCCCAGGTTATTTTCAGAGGGGAGAAAGGGAAAGGAAGAACTGGGGATATTGGACTAGATGATGTGACCTTGAGGAGAGGACGCTGCTCTGAAGAGCATTAGCAAAGACAATGGACCAGCACAGTCATCTCCTCTAGTCCTTCTCGTGCTATTCCTACCAAGCTTTGAAACAGAACTGTGCGAAAAAGAAGAAAAAGTTGGAGAGTGACAACTTCTTAGCGCTCTGCTAAGTGCAATCTCACTGAAACGTCACTTAAAAACATGGAGAGCACCTCCCAGGATTCAGGAACTCCAGCCATGTGCTGGTTGTTTCTATTAGTCCTTGCCCCTACATCACATTTTGTATGTAAAACTGTATCCCCTGTTGCGTGCTGAGTGCTGACACAAAGAGCACTTGTGAAAAAGGGACAATTAGTTACAAATGGTGGCAAAAGAAAGCTCCAGCTCAGAAAGTTTTAGGTGTTAACTGATATTATTTTCCCATGGTGCGACTTTTTAATTGCTTAGATTTGATGGAGAGTGGGATCAGCCTGGCTTCAGAGTCACCTCAGATCAGCAGAAGCCTGGACCTGAAATTTGGCCTACTGCCAGTGACCTCTGACGAAGGGTTTGCCTCTTATTAAGTAGCATTTATTTTGGTGTTGCATCTGCACTGACGAAAAAGCAGGTACATAGAGTAGGCGCCGCATCCTGCAACGTCGCTGCTGCTGTGTTTTGTGTGTACGTGTAGGGTTCTTAATGTATTTATGGTTTTAATGGTCACAGACTCTGGTTGCAAGGTGAGTGGCAGCTGTGCTTCCTTCTTGCACACGGCCGGAGTGCAGCCTATTTTTGATCCCGCAGGTCCTGCCAGTAGGTTTGTCACCAAAGTCAGTTAATGGTGCTCAGCGACAAATGCGGGTGCAGTTTTTCACGCTGTAACGTGCTGAAGGCAAAAGCCCAAACCCTTCCCTGATGCAGACTGGCATCTGATAACGCTGCACAAGGTTGCGTTTAGCTCAGGAGCAAGCCCTAGAAAGCTCTCAGTCCTGCAAGAAACTCCTGGTTCAGGTGAAGACTGGGCAGCCTGGAGAAGATAACCCATCGCCACCACCAGGACTGTTCCCTTCCCACAGGTGGTACAGCCCACCCGTGAACAATTCAGACCGTGAAATGCCTTGAGTGATCTGCGTCACGTGTCCGTATCCCATCCATCCCTTCTGTATATAATAAACGTTTTATTCTTTAGGACTAGAACAACTGTTAGCTCTAGCTGGAACTAAATATTTATCAGAACTTTGGATTAATTTTTTAGTTATGTATCATGCATGTGGTGTGCAGTTTCCCAGGGAATTCTTCTGTTTGGTGTGGGATTTTTTTAAATGAGGATCATCACCGTCGTCGCTGCTAACAATTCTAAATTTCACAGAGTAATTGTAACATTTAAGAAAACCACAACAGATGGATAAGGTGTTGTTAGTGGCAGCCTTAAAGCTTCAAAAAGCTGCTTCTTTGTATATGTAGAAGAAATAGATCACAGATGTGATCAGCTAAATGTCAGCTTCACATCACGTGAAAAAAAAAATCATTTTAAAAAATCATGTTAAGCCTTGCACCAAGTCCACAGAGACAAAATTACAAGACCATTGGAGGCCGTATTCCAAACCTCTGTTTCTGATAAAGTGCTGTTTTGAAAATATTTTTCCAATTTGTCCTCGAGGACAGGGCACAGTATGTATAGCAGAAGTTTACTTGCCCAAACAGATCGTCTCCTGCGAAACTGTATCAAGAAACATTTTGAAAAGGCAAAAAAAAACCCCAATGCATTTGTAAACATTTTAAAACTATTTTGCTTCGAATATGATCATGATCTTTTTCTCGTATGTTACTTTGTAATATGTCAGAAATATTTGTGAATAATTGAAGTACCTTGTCCTTATTTTAAAGTAATCAGTAAAGGAGGCTGTTACTTGCTACTAATTGGAAATCTTGTTTTCATTTCTGGTTTGAAAGTCGTATTTTTATTGGAGTGAAATGAACCAAAAGATGACAATTCAACCAAAATGAAGTAGCTCTTATTACCATATTTAAAAATAAAAGTATATTTCACTGTAATACGACATTATATGTATTATTCAAAAGGAAGAATGATAATTTTCAAGCTAGCTTTTTTAAATAACAGTTTCACAGATAATTGAAGAGCTTCTGCAATATAAAATATTTTACAAGAAGCAGCTGCCATAGTTCCAGACACTACCGCACCTGCACAAACTGTTCTATTCTTTGGCATCTAACAAGATTAAAACATTTCAGTCTGGCTCATCTACGGTGGATGAAGATGGTCTTTACCACATGTTCCTGCAGCTTTCTGAGATTGAGACTCCGTGGTTAAAATGGAAATCTGTCTCCTCGCTACGCAGGACTGAAATGGCCCTTAGAGCCCAGAACTTGAGTGAATTTAGAAGGTAAGAGAAATCAGTACTTGGGTGACACGAGGAGGATTTGGGGGTTGGAACTAGATGATCTTTGAGGTCCCTTCCAACCCAAACCATTCTATGATTCTAAATACTTGGGAAAGCAGAAGAAATTGCACTAAATTAACATGAAAACTTTTATCAAATGTACTGTATAACCTCTTGCCAGCTTCTAATTTAATGTTTTAAAAGACAAACTTTTTTTTCCCCGAAAACAGACTGAAAATAAAAATTCTTCATAAATTACAGGTATCGTGACTGGTGGCAGTGTGCATTTATTGCATTTGCTGCCATCAAAGTGAGCACAACAGAAGGGACCGATACAAGATTTTGTTTCCAAATTCTGTTCTGTAGAGTCACCTCACCTCTCATCAGAGCCATGTCACTAAGTCACTGGTGAGTGCTTTCAATAAACCCATTTGTTCTGGAGAAAAGCTTCCCTAGGTTTCCTTCAGCCAATAACCCCAGACTTGGAGGTCGAAACGTTAGTTGTAATATAGTCGGTGATTACAATAACCACCCTAACAAGGGTCAGATTAGTCATGAGAAGACAACCCTGAGCAGAAGAACGCTCAGGACAGCGGCTTCCATCCTCCTCATGGAGAAAAGACGCAACAGTAGCCCCTGCCTCCAACTCGAGCTCCAGGTCTCTGTACACGCCCCATTATAGGTGGTTCCTCCCTGAAAAGGAGGGATAGTCTCAAAGGCTGCTAAAATCCGAGACTTTGGACCAAGCTATGCATTGCAACAGCCACCTTGAAACCTGTTCACTGCATTTAAAGATACATAAACTCTAGCTGTCTGTCCTTAAAACTTCAATTGCAAGTGTTAGAAAGAGTCATTAGTTGTCAGCTGAGGCCCAGTTAAATCCTATGCCATTTTTATTTATGAAGATCTATATCTCAAACACCAAGTTATCAAAGTTTTCCTGGTAATTAAAACACTTTCCTACCTGCTGTTTTAGCCTGATGTCCTCAAGTCACACAAGGCTTTATGACTTCAGCTTTTTCCACACCAATTAAAAAAAAAAAAAAAAATCGAACTGAGTGATGCATTGGTGTACACCGGCAAGTTTAGAAGGAAATAAGAGACATTTTAGTGGTAAGTTCCAGTAGTGGTTTGCAAGAACACAGAAACATCCTCAAGCTTTGCAAGTTAAGGCCTCGTCAGAGCACATCTACTGCACCAAATTGACCTAGCGATGAGGGAGGGAATCCACTTTGAATGGCCATAACTAATACTTTATTTGGTTGAGAGGAAGATGCCAATGGACTGAAGACCTTCAGGAAACACAAAGACACCTTCACCAGTGCAGACTGAAGCACCTGTAGAGCTCAGACACCAGCTCTGCGTAGGTTTTCAGGACTAAGTCCAAAACGAATCATACCACATTCTAGCTGCTCTGCTCTTACCGATTCTCCTTGTATGACCTCTTCCAAACCCAAACCCTGCTCCTTTGCTTTGAAACAAATTTTCCGCTAGACAGTGCTCTCTTGCTGGTGAAAATTTTCCGCTAGACAGTGCTCTCTTGCTGGTTGCTTTGGGCTGAGATGGCCTGTTATTTGAAAAACTGTTTATTTTTTTATTTCTTTCTCTTCAGCTTGACAAACAGCCTGGGTAGCATTACTGAGATCAGGACAGCAGTTTCTTTTCATAGCAAGTAACCCAATTAATGGATCCAAGTGCTCCCTGGACTATTTATCTTAGGTTGCCTTTTTTCTCCCAAGAAATCTCTAATTTAACTCCTGAGAGCCAGACGGGATATTGTGCTTACATATGTCAAAAGCATAGATCTGTCCCTGATTTTCTTAATAACATGTCAAATGACGAAGCAAAGTGGACCTGAATTTTCTGCATAAAGACAGAAATAATTCCCTGCAGAAATAATGGCCTGCTCTTTAGATCAGGTACTCCCCATCATTATTTTTCCTTAAGTTACTTCCCAATAGCTGTTAAGAATCAACCAGTTCTTTCTTTACTCTTAGTAACGTTTAACCTCATTCAGCCTGTACTCCGGTGATTAAAGGACTCCCCAAGACCCAGGAACAGGGCTCCATTGCCATCCAACCGTTTCCCTGTACTCCGGTGATTAAAGGACTCCCCAAGACCCAGGAACAGGGCTCCATTGCCATCCAGCCACTGTTTGACAGGTATCATCACAGACACCACATCCCTAGAGCAAAAGGGCCACCTCCAGGGCACGTCTGTGCTCTGTGCACCTGGCAGCATTACGTATCGTTGCACACGTGTGTGCGTGTGTGTGCAATGATAGTGCATTGCACACGTGTGTGCAATGCCAGTGGTAAGTGTTCGAGCAAGGACGTCAGGTATTCGTCTAGCACACAGAATAAGGACGCCCCTCTCCCTGTGCTGCAGCCAAATCCTGCTTTCCCCTGACCACAAGATACTACGGCACTTTTCTAGGAATTTTTGTTAACCTTCTGCTTTATGACTTTTTACCTTCTGGTCAGGCCAGGAATAGTCTTCTTTCACACTCTTCTCCCAGGCTTTTCCTTGTGCACTTCAACAGCTCGTGCTCTCATTTCAGACTCTCATCCAGAATCCTTTTGATACTCAGATTTCGGCGAATGGCTGGAAAGACAAGGTACAGTGTGTACTCAGAGAATGGTTTTACTGCGTTTGCAGGCA